ATTTCGATGAACAGATCAGCGAACTACAAGCCATCTTTTTCTTTAAAATTTACCATTGATAAAGGTTGCTCAAGCATTACTTTAACATATTTACATAATAAACAAATTTTAAAAAAATAGCCATTTTTTGATGTTCGAAGGTTTTAAAGCAAATAATCGATACAATGATGTGAACGTAATAAATTCAACCCATCTTTTAACTTTTACTCAACTATAAAAATACTATTTCCGTTTTTCATTCACCTAAATTTAAGCAAAGACGATCCAAGCCTCAAGGATTTTGGGTAGTATATTTAACGAGATAATGAAGTAACTTTTTTCGAAATATTTTCATTTTACCTATGCTATTTTCATTGCGAAATAGCAACTACAGAATTATTAAAAATTTTTTTTAAAAAAAACATTTACTTTTTCTGCAAAGCAATCTTCGCTAACGACTCTATAGGTTAATTCTGATACTGTTGCAACAAAAATTTAATCGATAAAATTGTTAAAGGTGAAGCCAGTGAAACTAAAATTGAAGCTTCGGCAACTGATCAAAAATAGGAAGAGTACGTTCAAGCATTTAATTCTATAAATCTTGAGCGTCATCATGATCATTATTTAATTGATTGAGATGCTTGAGAACACCCTAACACTAATGTTGAACAGAAGTGAAATAACATAATTTTATACGCTAACCTTATCGTTATATAAAAAGATGCAATTTATATAGATTAATATACGTACGAGGCTTTAACGAACCCTGATTTTATGCAGGTATTTTTTAAGGTTTAAATTAAAATAAAATTACTATGAATATCGGCAAACAGGTAATGAACAAGTATACAAATTGTAAGGAGTTTCCGATTTTAATATATACATATATACAATACGTATAATAAAATTACTACGATATCGAAAACAGGTAATAAGCAAGTATCGATTGATTATTATAATATAAAAACTATCGCTATCGCTATGTAATTAGGTTTCGTGATCACAGTTGTAATGTGAAGACCTTTGCGACTGTGATTAATTGAAAAAATGAGATTTATCATGAAAATCAAAATGCATTAAAAGAACTTTATTTATATTTTCGTATCGCTGTAACGTTTTGTATTGCCAACAATAACCTTTTATATTTCCGTAACTTATGACTTTGTAAATCTAACATTCTTTTAAATATTAAATATGTAGCATTAGGAAAAACATTTAAAGATATTTGGCCTGACTATATGAAGTGATTTTTGATCCACTATTTGAAAGGTAAGCTTTGTTGAGATTGGCTGAGATTTACTGAAACTGAAGCTGATTTGTCGAAGCCGAATTTCAGCATTTCCTGTTTGAAAATATCAACCCTACTAAAATTATTGAGTTTCTGCCAATATTTACTTTATCTAAGATAATTATTTCGGGGAAAATTTCATTTGTAGCACTTATTAAACTTTGAAATTGCAACTTAATATTGTAGATAGGGTACGGGACGGGTCGGGTTTAACCCGAAATTTTGCGGGTCGGGCCGGGTTCAGACCCGGGTCGGGTTCAAATTATTGACCCATCATAAATCGGGTCGGGTTCGGGCCGGGCCTATTAAAGTAACGGGTCGGGTTCGGGCCCTGTTCATTGACCCGTACAACCCGATCAAACCCAATATAATTTTAAAAAAATTCTTACCCGGGAATTATACTTTGAGCAGAAATATAGTTGTTAAGTGAAAGGTTTCGTGCTGATGAAATGCGTAACCTAAGTTCATCTTTCGTCAATTAAAATCTTAAATGACGAAATGACGAAACTGACGAAAGGTATCGAAACTGATATTGCTAACGAAACTGAAAGGGTGACAAAACTAATAAGATGAAGACACGGATAAATGTTGTTGAACTCATTGAGGATAATATGAATAAAAATAAACTCACAAAAACAGAAATTATAAAAATTACAGAAAATTTTATTGAATAATAGACGCTTGAATTGTTTAAATGAATATTCGTAATAAAAATATCGTGAGCCGTTGGGTATTAGCGGAAACGCTTGTACACATACGGATCAGGGTATTTCCCCGTGATCTTGATACAGTGACCAGTGTATTTTATATTATAATGGTGCCTACTTGTGACCTTACAAATTTATCAATGCAGTATGTTTTATTAGTTCATTATTTGTGTTATTCCGTGAGTACTATGGCTTTTTGACAAGTCATTTCAACTAGTCTATAGCAACCCTAGCGTTGCCCAGAAAAAAATTTGCGCTTTACATGTAATTTCTGATGCTAATCTCTGGATCAATTATAAATGTTTATTTAATGAAAATACAATTTTTTTTTTTTAGTGGGAGCACTAAGGTTTCGTCTTTTGGATATAAGGCTTCGTCATTTTAAGGTTTCATCTTCGTCAGAAGAATTTGGGGCGAGTCTTGAGCTTCCTTGATGCTGTGGAGACCACGTGATGGCAGTTAGGGCTTCAGACAATGTCTTTTTATAATTCTACTCTCTTTTATATAGTTACTAATAGGGGGTTTCAAAGTTAACAAATGAGTGGCGCATTTTGAAATCAAATGAGAGTTTGAAAAATCTTATTTGTATTTCAAAATTTTAAAATCGGCAAATGAAATGGGAGTGTCTGGAGATCCCCATTTGATGAAATAAATAGATTTTCAATGACAAAAATCATTATTTCAAATTTATCGAAAAATGAATAAAATTAATACAACGCTCATTTGAAATTAAATATGTTACCAATTTCAATTAAAATTAGATTTTCGCCTTTTAACTTTGAAACCCTCTAATAGTACTGTTCTAGTCTTCTGGCTGGAATTTACTATACCGTCGTGAATTTCAATTCAAAGGTATCAGGTGATTTGAGAATGATTTGATATACTACTGTACTAATACTTTCAAATAACGTAAATCACAGCTTAATCAATTTATAGATTTAATATAAATATTGATTTTATAGTGATTACTAACTCATATACTCTTTCTCTTTGACGGAATTTTAGTGAAAAACTACGGGACAAGGGACAAGGAACAATGTTAACGATGATACGAACAAATATTATATTTACTTGGCACTTTCGAGTTTTGGAACTCAACTGAATTAAACTTTAATGAAGGTAAATTCTAATTACTTATATACTTTTCAATACATTTGAAGTAAATTTATAAAATTCGGTCAATCGCCTCTATTTACATTTTCTCTGCTATTTTATCTTTCGCTTCGATTTTGTTGATCCAACCGATTCACCCAATCTACCGATTTATAAAATTTGGAAAATTTACGACTGTGCTACATCATTTCCAGAAGGGTAAATCTGACGTTCATGACTTACCGTTACTATTACATATCTGTATATATCCTTACAGAAATAGACGTAACTTTTTTAATTGCAAATTAGTGCGACAATTGAAGTCTGCAAATCCTATAAATTTCGCGTGAAGACAATGGCAATATGCAGGATCGAAAACAACGATTATAACAATCATCCGAATTTCTCACCTTCAGTCACATAATTCTTGCATGTATCAATTTTCTGGATTTTCTTATCTTTAATAAAATAGTTCTTTCTTGCATATCTGCACATGCTCATCATGCTCATCAATTGTCTAGATTTCTCACCTTTAATAAGATATGATCTTGCATGTATCGTATTGTCGCGAAATAACGGTTTAGAAAATCGTGTCTCCTAAATGGCATGTATGGTTTCAAAATAGCCTATGCGCGTCCCAAATAGCATGCACCCTCTATTAGAGTTCCAACAAGAATTAAATATAACAGGAATGCTAGGAGAAATTTTATGTAACGCTCATGGGTACTCTAAATAACTCAAAATAATGCGCAAGTGGTAGTTATTTCACTACAATACGGTGTTAGTGTAGATCATTTATGCATCGCGTCCCTGTCGCCCGGCTCGTGGTTTATCCGAGTTTTGGTTGATCTTGTCGGTCTATCTTGACCTAATAATGTAACCAAAGATAAGCTATTTTTCGTCTTCATAGTAATTCTCTTATCTTTCGATAAGCTTGTGATCATTCTGTAATCATGAGTTGAAGAAGTTTGAAATACGTAGTTCAATGGGTATCTTGATAAGAAAACATGTATATAGACATTAGTGTAGATCTCGCGTTCCTGTCACCCGTCTCGTGGTTTATCCGAGTTTTGGTTGATCTTGTCGGTTTATCTTGTCGATCTAATAACGTAACCAAAGATAAGCTATTTTTCGTCTTCGTAGTAATTCTCTTATCTTTCGATAAGAATATCATCAGAATGAAGTTGTATGGAGTTTGAAACGTGTAGATGAATGGGTATCTTGATAAGAAAACATGTATATATAGGCATCGTGTTCGACAGTAGAGTAGGCCTTAGACTTCGACTTTGGATTATTTCGATTTCTTATTTTTGTTTAAGTTTTAGTATCTGTTGTTATTCCTTTAATTATTTATATTTTTTATCTCTTTAGCTGTTATTTATCTATTTTTTATTTCTTTGTTTAAACCGAATTTGTTATATTCGGCTTCTGTTTCATATCTTTTAATAGTATTATAGATTTCTCTTATTCAGTATTATCTAATAAACTCTTAGTGTTATTTAACTATCTATCTGCACATACTTAAAATACATTTCGCATATACATAATCGTTTCGTGTCGTCATAAACTATTTTGATCATCACGCTATTGTTAAATCGCTCTAATCCATCTAACAATTTCCGTTCCAGAATTGTCTTATCTTTACCCTTAAACCGCACATTACATTCCCTTTTTTATTTATTCATCTGCTTCATTGTTTCCCATCAATCTATTTCCCCGTTACTATCAAAGCTAATCAGGCCTCATAGCCATCTCGCTCTCCTATTTGGTAGTAACAACGGTATGTACATATGTATTTAATAAATCTTTTTTTTCTTTTTTTTTAGAAAACAAAAATAAGCTACCGAATTATTCATGGTATAATTGTAACTGAAAGAATTGGGCACTTTGTGATATAATTATTTAACCATTTTATTTAGCTACAATAAAAAAAAATGGATTTAGTCGAAGATACGAGTATGGATTTAGGTGACGAAGCAAATACGAACCCAATTGGTAGTGAAGATGAAAGTCTAAAAGTAACCGAAGTAACTGAAGTAACCGAGGAAGCCTCTGATACCAATAAACGTAAAGGTGGTAAACCTCCATCATGGGTTTTTGAAGAAGAACATTTTATAAAGGATGACAAACAAAGTAAGAGTGCAAATAATTAGGACTATCGAACTGCTTTTTTTTTTTTTTTTTTTTTAATAAAGTTAAATTATTAGAGGATCGTGTTAAATGCGTATATTGTAAAAATTCCTTCAAATATGATGGTGTTAAAACGGGAACTAGTACTTTGATTCGGCATTTAAAAAATTCAAAATGCAATAAACATCTCAAAACTCAATCGCAACAAAAGTTGCAATTTTCTCGTCTAACATCTGGTGTCGTTGTTCATAAATTCTCTCAGGAAAGAAGTCGCCAAGACTTAGCAAAAATGATTATCATGCATGAGTACCCATTTCGTATTGTTGAGCACGAAGGATTCTTGAAATTTGTTAACAATTTACAGCCACAGTTTAGTGTAATGAGCGAAAGGACAATACGTGAAGATTGTAAGAAATATGTTGCAAATCTTGAAGTAAAGATACGTATGAAAATACAAGAAGCTCCTGGGAATTTAAGTTTCACGACGGATCTCTGGACATCAAACCAAAATCTTGGTTATATGGCCATTACCTGTATAGTATATTTTACTTTTTAGCATATGTTTGTGTTTCTAGTATTTAATTGTTTTATCTCTATTAGGTCACTTTATTGATGAAAATTGGAATATCCAAAAACTAATTTTGTCATTTAAATTAGTTCCCGCGCCACACACTGGAATTACTATCAGTAATACGTTTCTTAAATGTCTTGATGATTGGAATATTACTTCTAGGGTAGGTATCATAGTGCACTGACCAAAAAACTTGAGTATAATGCAGATTATCTAACAAAAAAAAAAAAAGAAAAAACTCCGGGTATATCGTGCAATAATGAGTATGCGTTGCAGAAAAAAAAATTTTCGAATGTAATGAGTGAAACTTCTCTAAGTACACACTCTCTTTAATACGCGCTCAAATTCTGGTTTCAATATATACATATCTTTCATAAATACACTTTTTCTTATTGTTCTTTAAGTGAAACGTTATTAAAGTCTGGTCACAAGTGCGTGAACTTGGGGAGGTTTTATTTTACTGTATATACTTCGCACCTATAGCATATTTACCAATTTTTTTATTGGTATGTTAAACATTTATTATTCTATAGTTGCTGGCAATTACAATAGACAATGCAACAAATAATGATGCGGCAATGACTAATATAAAGCGCAAGCTAAGTGAACAAAACATGCTTCTTGCGAATGGAACTTTGTTGCATCAACGCTGTTGTGCACATATATTGAATCTCATAGTCAACGATGGACTCAAAATAGTTAAGGATACCGTAAATACGGTAAGTAAAATAAAATTTTTATACGGTCAGAACCTTCTAAATGCAACTTCATAGAAACTAAACTGTTGATAATGAGTATTTATAGAATATAATAAAAATTGCATTAATGGAAGACAAAAATATCTTTGGGTCAAAATTTATTATTACATTTAGAACGCTTTTGCATTTAAAGAAGTTGCGTTTAGGGGTCTAACTGTATTTTTAATAGTATTTTACATGATATAGTCAATTCTCTTTAAACTGAACTAGTAATCACACATGTACTGGTTAAAAATTCGACTATTTAAAAGGTTATTCTCATTTTAGTAATTCGAATTTAATAAATGATTTCATAACAAATAAGTAGAAATTAGGGTCTAAGTTAAGCATAATTTTTAAAATTTAAGATTATGATGTCTACAAGAAGGAGGTATTTGAAATTAGCTTAATCAGACAATTCAATATTTGGCATTGCTATCGATATAGCATAGATATCACAGATAAACAGTTAAGCACTTAAGTGGCATTTAAAGTCTGTTAGGAGAGATTATAGTGAGCAATGTAATCTTGGAGTTTGTTATTGTTGCAGCCTCATTGACTACTGGCGAACTTGGTAATGCACCCCAACTCAATGCAGAATAAGGGTTTGACAACCTTTGCTAGTATTTTATTTATTTGAAATTGAAAAGGTAAATCTTATTTATCATATGGTATTTGACTTTATATATTTTTTATGCACCTTAACTGATTATTTCAATTAATGATACACGTGATCACGAGACCAAATGCAAAACTTATCCAAACGCGATAGGTATTCAATTCTTTTTTTTTTTTTTTTTTTTTTTTTTGAATTCTAAAAAGCCTCCAACGCTTGTCTTCTTTAATTCAGGATCTTCTACTGTGAACCCACGTACAACGTATCTTAAACATCGATTTTCGTCAGACCGATCTTGGCCTAGACAGTTATAAAAAGGGCATAATACTACTCAGGATAAAAAAATAAAATGTTTAAGTTGAAAGGTGATTCAAGCAAATAATGCAATAATTATTATCATGAAAACGTGGCATTTAAAAGTGGTAATTCTTATAGATAATATCAGATATAATCTTTAAAATGGACATAAATATGGTGTAAGCACGGCAGAGGATTAAAGAAACATTCGACAATCAAATCTAAGCGATAGTTCTAGCAGAAAATACGAAATTTTTTTTAACAAAATCATCCTTCGGGACTATGTCCCGAAGGATGATTTTGTTAGCAAAGATTTTATATGATCTTGAAGAATATAATGATCATGTTCGGTTTAAAGAAAATTAACTGTACTTACATAGTTGATGTTATAGATCCGAGAATGTGTGAAGTGGGTTCATAGTTCACAACGTCGACAACAAAACTTTGAGGATTCTATTGTCGGGTGTTGTGATAATTTAGTTTCAAGCCAGCGGCCAGCACTCGACGTAGCCACCCGCTGGAATTCGACGTATCTGATGTTAGAGTCCACCATCCCGTACAGAAGTGTATTCGACCGTCTTGCACTCCGTGATGTCAGTTTTGAGTCAGTAGCACCCTTGGACGAAGATTGGGAACAGGCGGAGTGTCTCTGTGATTTCTTAAAACCATTTTATGAAAGTAATGCCAAATATTAACTTCTATTCATATACTTCACTATAAGTGCATACCGTATTTGCACGAAATAATGCCCATGGTGTTATTTCGCGCAAATATGGTACTAACTAGTCTATACTTTAATGCAGTTACCAATACTATATCAGGAACCAACTACTCTACAGCAAATATTTTTCTTCCACAATTGTTAAAAATTAGAAGGCACCTTGAACGAAATAATACTAGCTCGAGTCCTTTTCTTGGTCAAATGGTTAGGCCAATGCAATCAAAATTCGATAAATACTGGGCGAATACAGGAGATTTGCATTGCATTGCGTCAATATTAGATCCACGTTACAAGATGGCATTGTTGACGCAAATATATAAAGAAAACATGAACTTATCATGTACTGAAGCAGAGGATAAATTAGCATCAATTAAATTGAGGTAAGGCGAGGCGCAATAGTTATATCCAAGGCAATTGTATATATAAGAAATTTTTCGCTTATATCCAATTACTTGGAATAAGACTAATTTATCTCCTGCTATCCACATAATATAAACTCTCATTATATGTAGATGTGTTAGTCAGGAGTAATGTTACAAAATTTATCGTAGTGCACTGATTAAAAGATCTGACCTAAAGTAGATTATTCACCATCTCATTATAATCGCATGATGGGTCTTTTTTCTATTTTTTTTTTATTTATTATTTCCCGGACTTATTAATTATCTTCCCGGGCTTTTTACTTGTTATTTTCTGACATTATAAAGGTGCAAATGAAGGGAAAGGAATGATAGAAATAATTAATAACACGAGTCCCTGTCATATCATCATATGAAATGATAAATAACACATTTACTGCACCGTGTCGGAAAATAATTTCATTATCTCCCAGCGGCGCATGTATGGGGCGCTTTGTGCCCCATACATGCCACTGGAGAATAATTACTCAGTATATTTGGTCTGTCATAAGGAAAAGTAAAGTATTTAGTCAGTGCACCATCGTTATAAGTTTTAGTTTCATCAAAAATGAATGGCACTATCGTATATTGATTACCTTTATCTATTAAATTAGAATAACTACGATCTATAATTCAACATATAAACAACATGCAGTTTTTTCTAACAATGCAGAATTAGAGAATTTTTCAGATATTCTCCAGGATGAAGAATTCCAAAACTTTGACGCCCCTCTTGATATTGAAAAAACCGGTGCTGAAAATGAATTAAATGATTTTGAGCAGTATCTTGCTGACCCGCTTTTTCCTCGTTCGCGCACAGAGCCATTTGACGTTTTGGCCTGGTGGAATATAAATGGGCAAAGATATCCCTCCGCATCGTTAATGGCAAGGGATATCCTTGCCATTCCAATAACTTCAGTAGCTTCCGAAGCAGTTAATAGACTTTTGAATTTTTTGGTTTTTGGTTTTTTTTTTTAAAAAAAAATATAAGCTAACTCATTTTATATCTAGACATTTAGTACTGCTGGAAGAGTCATTGATGACTATCGTTCAAATCTGAGTCCTGAAACTGTTGAAATGTTAATACGCGGTCAGGATTGGATGAAAAATGCAGCAGACTAGCACCCCGGCGGGTTTTTTTCTTATGTTTTTTTTTTTTATGATTTTTTTTTTCTTATGGTTTCTTTTACAATTTTTTTTTTCTTTTATCGTGATTTTCCTTTATTTGTGATGCCAATTTTTTTTTTCATGCAATGTATCGAGAATCGAACGCTTAAATTTTTGATGACCTACCTGACAATTTGAGGCATGAAAAAGTGTATTTTTAGTTGGTACAATCTTTTAGAACAAAGTAATCAAAAAAGCTGATACACTGAATAAATATTATTGCAATCAAAAAATAAAGATATCAACAATTTCTGATTTATTTATATAATATACATTTTTTTAAAAAAAATCTTTTCTAATGGCCAAAAATTATTACCTCGGAATATGCATTGGATGCACAGTCTTTTTGTACAACCGCGAAAAAAAAGTATTTCCAACAAAAAACAATTATATTAAAGTTCCTTATGCTTTTACTCTGAAATTTCATGATTCTTTCAGTAATAAATAAATTAATTTTCTAGAATCATTTAAATTTTCTTGCTCATTATGCAATACGACGAATATGCAACTTATATTTCTACAAAAGATACTAAATCAAATATGTTACAAAATAATAAATCTGCAACATGTAATTTTGCAAAAAAAAATATTTAAGAAATAGGGAAACCAGAAATCATCGATTTCTTTTTTTTGTTTTTTGATCTGCAAATTACAAAATTTTGCAAACCGAAATAAATAAAAATTCAAAAAAATTGAATTCATGTATCTATATTAGGGATGGGCAATGTAATTTTTTATGTAATCAATATGTATTTTTTAGGCCTTACATATTTTATGAATTATTACATATAATTACATAATTTTTTAAGAGTAATAGATCACTTGATAAAATTGTGAGGAACGAACATGAGGACGTACCAACGTGAGTTTGGACGTCATTAAGAGTGTTCAAAAAACAAAGTTAATGATTAATGACATAATTTCTAATTATTACCTATCGCAATATTGCAACAAAATCTTAAATAAGAATACATAATAAATATGTAAAAAATTTGCCCTTCCCTAATCTATATAGTCGCAATAAACTCAGTTTGAATGGGAAATCGTAGATGTTTAACGCATGACTATGCTACTGGTATAAGCTTGGATAAAAAAAAAGCACTATTAAAACATTGATATTATATTTGGAAGTTTGAGGATAAGATACCATCAAATTATGATCGAATTGAGAACTCGAGTGTATGAGAATGAATAAATTTAGTGATGGGATTCGGGCTTAGCATTTAAAGAATAGCATTGAAGCGGTTTAGTTTTAAATTGTATTGAACATAGAGGTGAGCAATGCATAAAAGCCTAACGTAGTATAACTCTAATATAACGTGATGTTAAATGATCGGGTCAGGTTGGGTCGGGCCGGGTTTTGAATCAGACCCGGCCCGACCCGTCATGAAAAATTTTTATTGGGTTGGGCCCGGGTCGGGTTTTAAACGGGCCCGGGTCGGGTTTGAATGAACCCGACCCGACCCGGCCCGTCCCGTACCCTAATTGTAGAGTAAGAACAACCGAAAAAGGAATCTATAATAATGATCAATTATTCGAATTGCAACGTGATGGGTATATAGAAGAGGCGTACTTTGATTATTCATGCAATCCTATTTTTAAATCTGATGGTTCTGTTTGTGCTCTACTTATTTATGCACAAGAAACTACCCAAAAAGTTTTGAATACTCGAAGACTAAAAACACTTGGCGAACTTAGTCTTCGGATTTCCGGTTAGTAAATCAACTATAAATATATTAAAAATATATTATGTTTATATTTTTATAATTGTGATATTTAATACAGTACGCTAACACATACTTGTATTGACATAAGGTGAGGTTGAAATGTCTGCCATATTATTACGAAAGTACTGAGTGATAATACCGCTGATATTCCTTATGCATTAATTTACTTTGTCGAGCATAAATTAAATACTACTGTTGAACCTCTGATTGCTCGTCTAATTGCTACAACTTTTGATTATAATAATGAAAAAGGATGGCTTTTA